CTTTAATGTTTAGATTGCTGACGACACAATGAATTCTGGGATATCGTCTGCCTCGTAGGCTACTCAGACGTAGCCTACATTTTGTGGGTTCTTGTCGAGCGCATGAACAGGTGCCTCAAACTGGGACCGTCTACAGCATTGTGCAGTGACATGAGCGACCGGCAAATATGTCCTACATGGACTGCAGCCCCTGAACCGAGACACAGAAAAAAAGTCAGAATATGTTTGTATACAGTATGTACACAGTGTCCTTAATGTTAGAAACATGTTCTGTAGTCTGATTAAACTAAAATATTACTGTCTGGACATAATCACAATCTTACAACAGAGTATTAAGGCCAGACTGCAAGAATTATTATTATTATTATTATTATTGTTATTATTATTATTATTATTATGATAATAAAGTCATAATATTGCAAGAATAAATAATAAAATGGTTAATGGTCTGAACTTATATCAAGTCCCAGGACTCCAAAGTGCTAGTCATTCACACACTGATGTTGGTAAGTTACATTGTTGCCACAGCTGCCCCGAATAAAGTCAGCATATTATGAATATAAAGTCATCTGAGAATAAAGCCATAATAATATATGACACGCTACGGGGAAACCAGCGACAAGTCGCTGAAGCACAAACTGAGGGGAAAAAAGAAAAGCTATCATTTTCTGAGAAAATAGTGATTTTTGTTTTTTGGCAAAATATACTAGTTGAAGTTATGAAGAATCCACCCCATGTTTTAAATAGCAGTTTCAGAGGTTTTAAAGTAGTAACCTTTGTATTTGAATGCAGGCTATTTTCAGAGTAAAAAGAGCCAACCGTTAATTTGTGTTTCGGGGAGGAGAGCTTCACAGCTGATTAACATGCTGTGAAGTTCAAAGTTTTACACAGTAAAACAACTATTTATATTTTAGCAGGTAGTGTGACACTTGTTATTTTAATCATAGATGGTGTGAAATAGACTTGAATTAAAATTGTGTGTACCTTTGAACTAATAATCATGCTTGTGCTGTTACAAAAATCAAGCTTCTGTCTTGTTAGCCTTTTGAGCTTTTGTCTGCACACTTTCCCAGAGCCTAACTGTGTGGACAGTCAGTGCTCGGGGGTGGGGTTAATGCAAATTAATGTGAATGAACAGCCATTGTTAACACCCCCAGGAAGCGCCCTCTGGTGGGGGCAATTCCTCTGAAACTGTGAGGCCTGTTTTCTTCCTAATCTTGTTTGCATATTAACAACATTCAAATGGCCATGTCTTCATTTTTATTCTGATTGCCCTGTGTTTGAAATCATTGGATAGCTTAGAACCCACACTTTCAGATTATGTTAATAACTTAAAACAACCCTGGGGAGACTTGTTGCTGGTTTTCCCGTGGCCAGTCACACATGAGAACTCCTACAGGAAAAAGGTGTCTAACTTTCTTGCTGTACTTAAGTACATTTTTCATGTATCTGTACTTTACTTAACTAGATTTCATCATGGGTACTTTTGACTTTTACTCTACTACATTTCTGTAATGCATTGAATTACATATTGCATTCATGTCACGTCGCTTTCTTTTATTTTATTTTATTTTATTTTATTTTATTTTATTTGTTTTTTTAGTTTGAAAGTAATCAGTGGTGAGAGGGGGAATTGCTGTAATTGATCAATTGAACCACTGCAAAGCAGGAAAAGTGCCATTAGACCCTCCTTCAGGGCATCAGCATGCCCACAATGGTTTCCACCACTGAGGAAATGTGCCATGCTTGGCCTTATTTAAAAGACTTATTCAAGTTAACAGGTTAAAAAATGACTTGTTGAGATTTGATAGAGGAGTTTGTTGGTGAATTTACAGCTTCTGCAGCTGCTGTCACAATCTGTGATGATGCATAGAATCAAAAGTCCAAGTGTGAACAGTGTCACAGAGAGTAAACACAAAAATGTGCATTATCTTCAGCATTGTTCACTAAAATCACACCATTGATGTATTAAAATATACATACATTAGGCACACTTCATTATATTTAAGACCGTTAGGGAATACATTAAGCAAGTATTTTTACTTTTTATACTTTAAGTATTTTTAAAAGCAAGTACTTACTTACTTTTACTCAAGTAAAATGTTAATGGGGTACTTTTACTTTTACTAGAGTACATTCTGCTCTGTTTATCTGTACTTTTACTTAAGTACAGTGTTTGAGTACTTCCTCTGCCACTGCTTACCACTGTGTCAAAATGAGGAACATTGAGCATCTTGTGAAGTTATAGTTTGGTGTTGGTTTTACAAATACAGAAATAATCTTTAATTGCATCAGCATCAAATTACTTTCAACAGCAGGCCTTTGAAATGGCAGTAGTGTAGCAGGAGGCCAAATCACTGTGGCATATGATTCATATGACAAACTGAAGCTGTGTGGCGTTGCAGTTAATGGCTGCATTGACGGATTTAATCGTCACATAATGGGAATGGAAGCATATTACACTAACCATAAAGTAATCTGGACTACTTCATAAACACAGTGACACACAATGGAGGGTGTCTACAGCACGGTGGCCTTATGAGCCGACACAGAAATGGAAAATCCACATCATGTAATATTATGACTTTATTCTCGGAACAAAAAAAAAAGGTCTGGGTCTAATATTCTGTCGTACAATCAGGTGAATTTTTTTTTAAATCTGAGATCAACATTTGATCTATGAAGTATGGGGGTGGCAGTATCACGGTGTGGGGTGTTTTACAACAGGAGGGACTGGTGACCTTCACAATGTAGATCACAAGGAGAGAACTTTATGTGGAAATATTAGAGGAACATCTAAAGACAGTGAATCTGACTCAGACTGGTCTCTGCAAAAGAAGTCCAGTTTTCAGTCAAACCCATCCGAGTCAGACTCTGACAAATCTTCAGCCTGCTTTCATATGGATCAAGTGTTTTGTAACAAATATTTACTCTACACAAAATAAGCTGCATGAAGCCTGCTCAGTTATGTTACAGAGTCCCACCTGATGGTAGGTGGTAAAATAAAAAGAGGATCCATATAGGTAAAAAACAAAAAATCTATGTAACTGAGAAGAGTTCTTTATTTTATTTTATGATGATTGTGGGTCGTTAAAGCATTTCTAACAGACTTCAATGAGTAGATTTTCCTCTGAAGAAACATTCAAGGACAGCAAATTTACTCAAGTTTAACATAGCATTATATACACTTCTAGCAATCAGGGGTGGTTATAAGGATGGGGCCATAGGGGCATTGGCCCCAGCTGAAATCTTATTGGCCCCCTGAAGTGCCCCTGTCCTGTCACTCATCTGTCCTTTACCTGGGAGTGATGATGGTGGATGCAGTTCCATGTTCAAACACTAGTTGCGCTAATGAGTCAAATAGTAAAGTCCAGAATGAAGCAAGCTTACAGAATTCTTCTCTTCTTAAAATGTGAACAATCGTGCAAAAAAGTCTTTCAACTGACAAATGATGGCTGGATTTTCTCACATGTATGTTTGAAAATATTTTATTATGTACAGTAAAATGTATGAAAAACTGGTGAGGAGAATTTACTGTGCAAGATTTTTGGTACCACTTTACAATCAAGCTCTTCTGGGCTTATTAAGAGTTTATAGATAAGTTATTAATTCATTTGTAAAGTTCACACTTCATAAATCATTAATAAATGAAATTGGACACAATTTTGTCTCTTTCTCATCCTTAGTTATTGCATAACAAACACTTATTAATAATTTTAGTGTTTACAGCTTAATTAATAACCTATCTTTAAAAGCCATCTATATGGGGAGCCTTATTGTTAAGTGGTACCTTTTAAAAATATACATTACATTATAAGTGTTTGAAGTGTAAAATGTATACACTGGGAATTTGTGTGAAATGATGTTGAACAAATACCTGGCACCACCATGAATATTGTGGCCCCTTGATGGCCCCTTACTCAGAAAAATCCTAGATCCGCCAATGCTAGCAATTAAAAAAAGTTAAACCCTTTAAAGATTTTTAGTATTTTTCAGAAACGATAGTGTTTCTTTACAACACCAAATACAACATAAAAACTAACATAAACAAAGGTGTGGTTGTTTCCTCCTAATGAGCTGAGGATTAAACATCTAAAATCTATTGAACCTGTAGAATCTATTGATATATAATACATTTGTCAGCCCTTCTTACCAAAATATTTTGACAGTTTTTTTCTAATGTGTAAATAATATTTTCACTGTTTGTAGCATTTTTTAACTATCTAACTTCGTTTAAAATAAAATTCCACAGAAAAACAATACTTTCTGACAGTTTTGCTAACTTTAGCTGCTGTTTTGCTAGATGTAAGCATCTGTTTAGTAGGTAAAGCAAAAGCTTTATCAGTGCCCACCTCTGGGTAAAAACCCAGTGGTGGGAACAGTTCCCCTAAAGCACAATAGGGGAACTAATTTCCTGATCGGTGCTTTAGGGTTTTTATTTTTTTAATTTATTAGTGGATTAGCACTTGCTAAATTTAAAGGCTAAATTTAGAAGCACTAACTGAGGTCTATGAATGTTATTGATCAACATTAATGTTAACAGCTGATGGTGAAAGCTGTTGCACATTTTGTTCATATGTGTGTCACTTATCCACCAGGTGACAATATATGAACCCAAATACAGCTGTGGAATGTCAATAAGTCTTGGGAGCAACATGGTAATATGTGACTCATGTTGTCTGTTGAAGAATGTTCATGGGTTGACTGGGTTATTTTAGTGCTTTAGAATTAGCTTTTGCAAATCTTTCAGTTAGTGCTTCAGAATTAGGGGACCTAAATATTTGAGTTAGAGTTTTAGGGCTAGTGGGACTATTTTTTTAGATTAGTGCTGCCCAACACTGCTTTTCCCTGCAGTTTTTCTAAAAGGTTGAGAGATCAGTAGGTTAAGTGTTAATAAAACAGCTGATGTTGAGTCAGTTTCAGTGGTTTGAACCATGTTTTTTTTTTTACTTTGGGCTTCCTGCTTAATGTGTTGTTGTCTCTTCTTATTTCTGTTACAGATGAAGACGACTCCTCTAACTTTGTGACGGGGATAGTTCTGTACAGAAACCTGGGCAGCATCCTGGCTCTGCAAAGGTGAGATTTTCAGATTTTACAGACATTTTTCTCTGGGAACAGTTAGAGGACTTTTTCAAGTTCTGCATGAATTAAACCAAATATGCTGTATTTCAGTTTGATATCAAATTAACCAACTAAACCTGCAGTTTTTAAGATATTAAACAAACTACTGATTTTTATATTACCTACTATAATTATCACCCACAGCTAAGGGCATAAGTCAATAAAGTGTGTGTGTGTGTGTGTGTGTGTGTGTGTGTGTGTGTGTGTGTGTGTGTGTGNTGTGTGTGTGTGTGTGTGTGTGTGTGTGTATATTTTTGCTACATTGTGGGAACCATTTTCCAGAAAAAGGCTGCCTCGTGGGAACCAAATGTGCATCTTGGGGACCAATGCCCAGTCCCCATGAGTATGGATACTAATTTCGAGTGGGGGTTAGGTTTAGGACCATGCTGTGAATTGAGTTTAGGTTAGTTTTAGAGTCAGATAGGTACCTGTGAGGTTAATCTTAGGGTAAATGGTCAGGGTTAGGCTATAAAATTACCAGAAAATTATGGAAGTCAATGCACGGTCCCCATGGGGATATAAAAACAAACGTGTGTGTGTATGTGTGTGTTGGGGTGGGGGTGTTTGAAGCATTAGCAAAATATCTCATAAATTGCTGAATGCATATTTTAAAACTCTCGGAGTAATGTTCATATGTTCCTTTATACCTGATTAGTTTTTGATGTAAGTCAAATCCAAGATGGCCACCACAGCAGAGTAACTTCAGCAAACACATTCAACTAAATTATGTACCATCTCATCCTTACTTTTCCGATGTTTTGAAGGAAACCTAGGAGTGTAGAGGTTGAGGACACAGAACAAACAATATTCAAATTACTTGGTTTGACTAAAAGGACGATAGCAGCATTAGCATTTTACCATCCAGTGATCTGCAGAAGAGCAGTGAAAGTGAACTGATGAAGATGTACAGCAGCAGGGTGCAGTTTATGGATTTAATGATAATGTAGCTTAGCTTCTTGACTAACACTTTTAATCTAAATTATGATCTGATGATCAGCACCTCCAAAGCTGAGTCCATTGGGAGGAATGTATTGATTTCTATTGCATCTTTAATTCATTTCAGATATATATTTACACTTAAAATGTTTAGAATATTTCATAATAAATGTACAATCATTTTTATACATGTGTTATGTGACTTGTGAAGACAGTTGTTGATTTAGATAATCTGATAAAATTTCCTTGATTTCCTTATAGTATAACAGGCAGATGAGACGAACATTTAACTCCACTCTCCTCATGAATTTGTTGCTAATCTTTGGATTCTTCTGTTTTCTACATTACTCTTTCCCTTATTTGTTGTTGTTGATTTTTGTTTTCATCTCTGACCCCTCTCCTTTTCTCCATTTTAATCCCCTCTCAGGGAAAATGAGATGAGTTTGAGGGAAGAGACCAGATGACACAAGTGTTTAAGTTGACTGATTGTGTTTGAGAAAGCTGAGAGTTTGATTGTGAGTTGAAGACACAGTGATGATGTGACTGAGCAGAAAACAGCCAGGGGGCTGCTGACCAAGTTTGGAAGCTTTAGGTGTTTGAGTTTCCAGCAGCAATTCATTTGTTCCTGATTGTCTCGTTCCACATGATGGATGGGACATATGAAAACAAGAAATTGCAATGCATACTAAACAGAGGAAAATCTTCAAAACAAAACGTTTAAAAATCCTATAAGATGAGCTATTACAAAGCAATGCAATTCAGACGCTGGAACAAAAAATGGCTGAGCAAATAAGAGTGTACTGTACATTTTCTCTTGTTCACACAGCAGAGCCACTTCTATTGGGCTTTTGTTTGTTACAAGCAGGTACTGAGAGAGTTCAATCAGTGTTCTGTCTCAAAATGAAAAACTCCACAGCAGATATACCTGAGTTAAACATGCATCAATCTTTACGTCACAAGCTAGCTTTGCACATTTACAGAATTTTTAAGTAAAATGAGGTTGATCTTTGTAATTAGAACCACAAGCATGATATACATGTGGATATAAACTGACTGCAAACAGTTTCATTCTATTTTCAGAAAAGCTTCTAAAAGTCTATAATTTATTAGCTGTCATTAGTAGTGGTGATGTGTGAACGCTGGGGCACGTTTGTTGCTTTTTGTTCTGTGATTTGGTCTTGTGTCTAGTGTCTTGTGTTTTGACTTGTTTTATCTTCTTGTGTCTTTTACCTTGGATCTTGTTGTTTCTTGTTCCTTTTTGAGTCTTGTTGTGTCCTGTACCTTGTGTCTTGTACCTTGTGTTTTCTATACTGTGTCGTGTCTTGTATCTTGTGCATTGTATCTTGTTGTGTCTTATTGTGTCTTGTATGTTGTAACTTGCACCTTGTGTTTCCTGTACTTTGTTTTGTCTTGTACCTTGTTGTGTCTTGTATCTTGTGTTTCTTGTACTATGTTGTGTCCTGTACCTTGCATATTGTACTCCGTTGTGTCTTGTCTTTTGATGTGTCTTGTACTTTGCTGCGTCTTGTGCTTTGTTGTATCTTGTACCTTTCTGTATCTTGTAACTTGTGTTTCTTGTACCTTGTTGTGTCTCGTATTTTGCTGTGTCTTGTACCTTGTTGTGTCCTGTACCTTGTATGTTGTATCCTGTTGTGTTATGTACTTTGTACCTTGTTGTGTCTTGTCCTTTGTTGTATCTTGTACCTTGCTGTGTCTCGTAACTTGTTGTCTTGTGCCTTGTGTGTCTTTTACTTTGTGTCTTGTTGTGTCCTGTTTTTTCCTGTACCTTGCATCTTGTACATTGTTGTCTCTCTTCTCCTGTTGTATCATGTACCTTGCTATGTCTTGTATCTTGTGTTTCTTGTACTATGTTGTGTGCTGTACCTTGCATATTGTACCCTGTTGTGTCTTGTCTTTTGATGTGTCTTGTACTTTGTTGTGTCTTGTACTTTGTTGTATCTTGTACCTTTTTGTATCTTGTAACTTGTGTTTCTTGTACCTTGTTGTGTCTCGTATTCTGCTGTGTCTTGTACCTTGTTGTGTCCTGTACCTTGCATGTTGTATCCTGTTGTGTCATGTACTTTTTACCTTGTTGTGTCTTGCCCTTTGTCGTATTCTGCACCTTGCTGTGTCTCGTAACTTGTTGAGACTTGTAACTTGTTGTCTTGTGCGTTGTGTGTCTTTTACCTTGTGTGTCTTGTTGTGTCCTGTTTTTTCCTGTACCTTGTGTCTTGTACCTTGTTTCTTTTCTCTTGTTGTGTCATGTACCTTGCTATGTCTTGTACCTTGCTGTGTCTTGTACCTTGTGTGTCTTGTCATAACACAGGGATATACAGTACATCATCACATACGGCTTACTTGATGAAAAAAAATCATGCGCAGTTTTGTCAAGTAGAAACCCCTCCCCCATCATGATTTATAGCCATAGGCAGTGATGTGCAGCTGTTTGTAGCAATGTACAGTCCTACATAGTGGTGTACAGCAGTACGTAGTGACATACAGCCATACATAGTTGCATACAACCATACATAGTGACATACAGCCGTACTTAGTGTGGTAAAACTGTATGTAGTGACATATAGCTGTACAACAACAGTAGCTGCACCGCATGACCAACTGTTCTTTATCATTGAAAGGAATTAATTCACAAGATCTGGACCCTTCTAAGAGCCTTAAATTCATCTCTAGTCAGCATTTTCACAATTATTTTTTCTAGTACATTATATGGATGGGTGGGTGGG